CCGGTGGCGCGCAGGGCCATAGCGCGGAAGCCGCTGAGGCCGGACTCGCTGGTTATCTACCGACAGAAATGCGAGTTCGTCCGAGGGTCGGGAGCCGACAGCCCCAGGGGAGGCCTGGTGAAGAAATTCTTCCCGGGGCCGGGCAAGGACAAGACGCCGGGGTCCCCCGGCACGTCCCGGGTGGGAGAGGAGGGCGGGGCCGGGGCCCAGGAGGCCGCCCCGACCGAGCCCGACCCCGTCGCGGCTCCCACGGTGCCAGGGCCCTCCGCGCCCCCGGCTCCCGCCCCGCCGGTCAGGGCGCCCTCCAGAGTTCCGGCTGCGCCCCGGGGTCCGGAGCCGCTCGGGGCGAGACACCGGGGGCTGCAGCGCTCACAGTCCGACCTCAGCTCGCGCTACTCCGCGTCCTTGGCCGAATTTGACACCTTCTTCCAGTACTGCGGCCTGGAGCCCGAGGTGGTGGAGGCGCTCGGGCGGGAGAACTTCTCCGCCGGGTCGGACGTCGTCGCCCTCAAGGTCCGCAGCGTGAGCGTCGCCACCTCCGAAAGCGGCTTCTCCCGGCACAGCAGCGGCGACGAGGGGCTGCAGGAGGGAGAGCTCACGGAGCAGGTGCCCAGCACCACCTCGGTGGTCGAGAGGAACGCCCGCATCATCAAGTGGCTGTACACCTGTAAGAAGGCCAAGGAGACCCCCGGCCAGGGGCTGCAGGGCCCGGCGTGACCGCTGCGCCCCGGGAGACCCGGATCGAGGTTTGCGTCCAGAGAGGCCGGGAGGGGTGTGTGTGTGGCGTGCCTGTGAGGGCTTGGGGAGTGACCGAGCCGGGTAGATCCAGCCTTCTCACGTAGCGAGGGACCCTAGCGATAGAGACGCAGAGACTCCTGCGTCAGAGTGGCCGCTGCTGAAGAGCAGAAGGGCCGCCAGGCCAGGTCCCCGCAGGGCCTGCAGGAGTTCTTTTGAGTGTGCGGTTTCTGGCTGCCTGGAAAGGTAATTGTGCACACTAACACCATCCCAGTTGGTCTATTATTGTGAAACGTGGAGAAATTGGGATTATAAATACTCAGTTAGGAAGTGGTTTTACACCTCAGCAGTTATCCTGATTTGAACATAGCCTGAGAGCCCCAGTTCCTGTGGGCATCCAGAGCTTTGATGTGAGTTGACCTGTCAGCCTGTGGCCCTGGGGTGGGGCTGCCATCTCCCCTCCGGCAGAAAGGACGGCTCTGCACTTCCTGGAGGCCTTTACCCAAGTGGGAGGGAGAACTTCTCTACAGGATCTTGTCAGCAGTTTGACATTCATTTAGCTGCAGAGATCTTTATTTGGCTAAAGTTTGTTCAGATTGTTTTGAGACCTTCGTGCGGAGCTGCAGCAGCTTAGTTCACAAGAAGGAGCTTCAGTTTGTTGAATTGGGAGCTGGACGAGATCGTAACTAGCATCTTAGAGTTCTGCTTGGCAGTGATTCTGTATTTTATTTGCCTCTGATGATAATTTGGGAGGTAAATTTCTTCCCCTTGGACGTCAGCAGCTCAGGGTTGATCGCAAGAAGTTCTTTTTCCCTGAGGAACTAAGGAATGCTTACCCTCACTGTCAGCTCTGTGGAGAGGGCACTTCCGGGGCTGGTGAAGAGAGAAGGGAAGGTACCTTTTCAGGGTTCTCTTTGGGAGCCAAGATTTTAAACATTGCAACATCTTGTTTTCTCTGACCCTGCAGTGACAACCTGCTACAGGTGTTTGTGAAATTCACGTGGTGGAAGTGTTTTTTCTGCTGTCAGATGACTAACTGAACACACAGTATCAGTCTTCAGCGTGGTGCGGAGTCTGCCACAGACATGATGCACACAGCTCACCTGTGTCTGAGGCCTGGAAAAAGCCTAACTTCCCCCAGTGGCCATGGTCTTGGTACGGTTGTGACAATTCGCAAAAACAGAGGAGTTCATTGTTTCTCTTGAACTCAGAACGGTCATGACTTAAGTGCTCCCTTGTAGTTCATTGAGGATTATTGCATTTCCACTAGCCTGAATCCCCAAGGAATGTATATAGGCAGTCAGAATTTAAACTAAAAGCACACATTAACTTATACGTTTCACCGGTTGTGTTGGGAACTGATACGAGTGAATGCTGGCCAGGGTTAGGGCTGGCCATGAACACCCTGATGTGGAGGAAGGAAGCTGCAGGGGCCAGCATGTCCCGGAGGGATGTTGTGTAGGATGGAGCTCTCAGTGGGGAGTGGGGAGTGCTTCTGGTAGCAACCACTCCCGCACGTCTAGCTTAGGCTCCCATTGTCCATAAAACGAAGGCAGATAGCAGATGCTTTCCAACCTCTACGCTTTATGATTCCACATAGTCAGTAATCTGTGTTGTCTGTGTTGCACGATTGTAACCCAGAAAAGGAAAACAAAAAAACTGTCGTCTATTGTAGTATGTAAAAAGTAAACTTACAAATAAGCTCCTTCCAGGTGGCCAGAGTGCACTGTATTTTATGCAAAGAGTATAGGTAAAATTGGTGGTGCAAATAGTGCTGAAGTAACACAGTGGTGCACAAACACACCAAAATAAAGCCTGACACCAAAGAAATAAAAGCACTCTCCTCTGATCCATCGAGACCCAGCCCCACGCTCGCCCGCAGTGCCCCAGTGTGAAAGCCTGAGAGGGAGCTCAGGATTCAGCCCATGAAGTAACTTTGCAAATAACCTTCCCTTTTAGGTCTGAGTCTGTGAAAGACTTAAGAAGGTGGGTCAGCCTGTAAGAACTTTCACTTTTATGACAGAGAAGTAGGTGAGGCAAGAGGGAAAGTGACGCAGGTTTAGGAGGATGAGCCTCTGCAGGAGAACAGAGGTCCGCTCACTCACCCTCTCCCCCCCTACATAGCCCTGTTTGTTCAAGTGGGGGACGGGTGTCACCTGTATCCTGAGCTGTTTCATGTTACTGCTCAGAGAAGGGAGATGGAATTGACACGGAACCTGCCCAATTTTCCGGATGTCATTGGCAGTCACCAGCACTGTAAAGATTTTCTCTACAAATTCACTTTCCTAGACCCAAAACAGCTCAGGTTATTTGAACTTCCACCCGCGACACCTAAGGGCTGGCTGCTCGGAGAATTGTGAGGAAGAAATGCGTGTCCCTCCTCCAGCTCCACTGAGACTGGGACGATGTCTGCCCGTGATCACGGCCCCTCACCTTGCCATTCGCAGACATGCAGCCCCCTCTGAGGAAGAGCCAGGAGAGCGCTTAGACCTTCGCCTCCACTGGTGGAGGGCCTTCTGCAGCTTGAGCAAAATGCAGCTGACCTTGTCCCACAGGATTACTTGCCCGAGATTAATTCCATAACTTCTGGAAGCTGTGGAAGCAAGACTCCAAGGTGTAATTTTTCTCTAGTTTATCAGGACATTTGTGTTGGAGTCCGTACGGATTCATTTTAAGATCTCATGAAAATTCAGAAAATTTGAGATGAACAAATATATGCTTTCTAAGTGAAAAAAGGAAATATTTTATATGGAGGGTTTTGTCCCCTTGCTAGATAGAGATATTATAAAGTAAAATAAAAATATCCCATCCAGGATTAAATAAAAGGTTCACAAATTTATTACCCGATGGAGTAAAAATATTTGCTTTCCAAAACTGAGAATGTCAGAGCTGGAGAATGACTTGTACAATCTGCATGCAGTCCCACTGGGATCCATTAGTGACAGATAGTTACATGTGGATAATTTTGGTATTCTGTTTCCCAGTGTATAATGCCTGAAAACTGCTCTTCTGTCTGCTGGTGTTTAATCATCTTCCTGTCATTCAATTCATTAAAATGATAGGCCTGCCAAAATTTAGGTTTCTGCTTTTCTATCTTTTGCACAAATATATGTTACTGATTTTAAAATTGTTAGAATGGTAACTTGTCCTTTGAATTGATTAGGGCTAAACATTGTTCGGTTTTAAGGCAAAAATCTCAGACATTGCCAGCTCTCTTCACATTTCTCTGTGATAGATGTGGGGCAGCTGAAGGCTAGGGGGTAGAGCTGTCTCACCATCTGCAAAGATGCCGGTGGGGAGATACCGCAGACAAACTGGGACACTCCTGACTTTCTGCTTCTTTCTTTTGTGACTAGCTGGGAAGCTCTGTAGTCACCAACTAAGAGTGCCTTTTAGGTAAACTAGTGGCTTGAGCTGTAATAAGGCTACCTACTCTCTCTTCAGGCTAGCCCCTGGGCCTTTTAGAGAGGTTTGTGTTTGAAAGCAAAGAATCTGTTTGCCTCTAAAAATTTATTTGTACTGCTTGCTTTGTGTTCTGTTCTGTTGTCCAGCTCTGTGCTAGTGGGCACTGGCTTTACCACTCAACATTCAAAGAAATTTTTCTTTATTGCCCCAGAAAAAGGCATGCAGGGAGATGGATGCAGAGAAACCAGATGATAGCTGCTTTTGCTACTGACTTCTTTTCAAAATTTAAAATGTGCAAAGCAGATGTTTAAAAGGCAGAAAATATCACAAAACCAAAAACTGCAGGGACCAGACTTTGTAGTTCAATGCTTGGCTTTATAACTTTTGCCTAGAATGGTGTTGATTGACAGCTTTTTCCTTACTCCTCAGGAAGCAAGCCTTCCCGACAGGGGGGACTCCTTGAAGTACGTCTGGTTGATTGGGACCCCAGGGCCATCCTCACTGCCAGGTCCTGTCCAGTGTACCCAGGTGTCCATATGATTGCTGTTTTCCCAGGAATAAAGCACACCATTGAAGAAGCCTAAGCAACTTCAGAAGGTTTGAAGTGCTATGGAGAAGATGGGAACATAGAACTTGGAAATTAGCTGAGTTATAACTGTTATGACACATCTGTAGCTCTGGAAGATATTTTCTTATGTTAGGTGGACCTATCCTTGCTTCCAGAGAGCAGCAGAAGAGGGAAAAGCTGCTTGGAAATATTTTCAAGGGCCTCTTTTGGAGTGGCTTGCTGACAGAGAGGTGCAATTATACGTTTTGATGATATCTAAATTAATTTTAAAAAGAAAAAAAAGCAGAGAGCGTGAAAAGCAAACACGAATGCCACGGTATTTATTTCTTCAATCATATTGGATGGATTGGCACCATTTGAATCAAAGTTCTGTGATCATAAGAAGTTACATTCTACACAAATACTATGGCCAGCAAAGAGGAAACACGCTCACACTTGCACTCACATGTAGGCCCCAATTTCTAAGCATCACACTTGCATACTCACATGTAGGCCTCAATTTCTAAGCACCACACTTGCATACTCACATGTAGACCTCAATTTCTAAGCACCACACTTGCACTCACATGTAGACCTCAATTTCTAAGCACCACACTCGTACTCACATGTAGGCCTCAGTTTCTAAGCATCACACTTGCACTCACATTTAGGCCTCAATTTCTAAGCATCACTGCACCGTAAACTACAGTGAATTCCCAAACTGTGCAACTGATCATCGTATGAAATGAATCAGAAAGCACTTTTAAAACCACTTGAGAGCTGCAAGGTCATTCTGTGAACATCACTCCTGTTGGATTGTAGACACGCAGAGGTACCATTCAAAGATAAAGAGCTGAAATACTGCTAGGAAACCTTTTCTTGTACCTGGACAGTTCCTTGAGGGTTGGCAGAAGAATATTGGAGCTTCCTTCCTTCAGATCAACAGCAGTGGTCCTCTTCTGCAGCACCGTTTAGAATGGGCCTCCATGGTTCTCTTGTTCCCAGCTTCCAAAAGGATAAAAAGCCTCGG